AAGACTTCCTCCAATCCGGCGGCGCAGGACTCTGGTCAAGACCTAGCGAATACGTCAAGATCCTCGCTGCTCTATTGAACGACGGAACGAGTCCACAAACCCAGAAGCGCATCCTCAAGAGGGAGACAGTCGACCTCATGTGGGAGAACCAAATCCCCTCCCAACCCGACTTTGCGCGTGCCAACGTCCCACCCGCGAACCCTTTGCTCGTCAACCAAGCAGCGGATATGTATCCCCAGCCCGGAAACCCTCCTCAGGGATGGGGCTTTGGCGGTTTCATCACGATTGAGCCTGGTCAGTCTGGTCGCGGGGCTAATACGCTGTGGTGGATGGGCTTGTGTAACTGCTTCTGGTGGGTGGACAGGGAGAAGGGGGTTGCGGGTATGTTGGCTTCGCAGGTGCTTCCCAATGGCGATCCCAAGGTTATCCCGGCTTGGTTCATGGCTGAGAAGGGTGTTTATGATGGGTTGGAGTGAGGAGGTCGATAAGTACGATGCACAAGGCGTCTTTGATTGGCGGTGTCACGTAGCAAAGCGCGCAAACAGAGGCCGTTGGTCTAAAGGCAGGTGATGGGAAGCAACCGCACTAGAAAAAGAACTCATAATGCCTCCATGTACAGCAGCTTCATTGTCTGCGCGCGCGTTTGCTTGTCAAATGGATGCTTGAAAATATAAAGCAAGCATCCCCCAAGACGCGAGCAAGAAGAAATATCTATCTCTACTACAAGACGCCAGATTTCTTCACTTCCACGAATCTGACTATCTACTCGTCACCCCAATCCCCAATCTGCATTCTACAAGTCGGCAAGCCTCACCCACTACACTCGCGTGGCATCGAAATGATCCTCTCCCGCATCCTATCCATCACCCTCCGTTTCGCGCAATTTGTCTGCGCAGCCGTAGTCCTAGTCCTGACATCCATCCTCCTCCACCAAATCCGCCACATGGACGCCAGTGACTGCCACGGCCGCCTCATCTACAGCGTCATGATAGCGGGTATATCGGTCATCGCATCCCTCATCTGGCTCTTTCCCACGACGTCTCACATCGTCAATTTTGTCGGCGATCTTATCTTTTGCGGCGCGTGGGTCGCTGCCTTTGGCTTGCTGCAGGATTATTATAGGAATGGTATGGATTGTGGTAGTATCTGGGCGTGGAATCAGATGATTGTTAGGAATGGGATGTGCAGTAGGTGGAATGCGGCTCAGGCGTTTGGGTTCCTGAGCGCGGTGTTTTGGTGCGTGAGTTTTGGGTTGGGGGTGTTGGTTTGGAGGAGAGGTGCAGGGAGGGGTGCAGGGAGGGTGTAGTGATGTCATGGTAACTTTGCGATGGACGATTTGGAAGCGACTACTTCTTGCGAGATGCGCGACTGCAATACGTGCTTTGGATATCTGGTTGTTGCATCTTCGTGCGGCTTGAAGTCTTGAGGAAGCCGCGGACAGGACCTAGGGACGCGCTGTCGCCTTACACTAGGCCGGGTGTAGGAAGGATTATTATCAACTCCTACGAAATTGACGCCCGGTAAACCCCAACATACAACCTCTTGTCGCCGTGCAAGCCCGAGCTCTAAATCTACGCTACAAACATGTCCTGCCGTTGTGACTCTGATTCGCTGCCGGTCGTCAGGCGTCCAAGGGGTCCGTAGATCCTGCGAAATTCTCCACTCGTCTAGGCTGCCAGCGTCCCCGTCCGGCAAGTTCTTACTCGGTTCCTTGGAAAGCGGAATTTCGCACGACGTTTGCCCTAGAACTAGATTATCAGGCCCCATGGATGCCTGAGATATTGTATATGGCTAATGCACTGCACAGGCAGCATGCTGTCTAGTTCTGGCGCCGTCAGATCTAGATACATGGCGCTCATTGTATAAAGATACTCCATCGTCTGCTCTTCTTACTCATATCTTCACGGCCGATATTGCATCTCACATCTCGAAATACTTGCACCATGCTATCTCCACTCACTATCGGTCTCGCCTTGCTACCACTGCTCAGCGCGGCGTATCTCGAGGAGCCTCCAACTACCGCGGCTCCTGACACTGTCGCAGACTGCTCATGGTGGCATGTCGCCGCAGAGACCGACACATGCACCAGTATAGGTGAATACTGGGGTCTCACAGATGCGCAGTTGACGGCATATGTACGACGCGAACGCCACAGCACTCTACGCATATACTGACATCTGAAACAGAACCCAAGTCTAGCTGATGGATGCAAAGTCATTTCGGGTAACTCTTACTGCATCGAAAGAAACTTGGGCAAGCCTGTACCGTCATCTGCCACCAGCACTCTTGTGACTGTGACAAGCACCAGCCAGACGCCAACGCCGACTCCCACGACGCCTTTAGAGATCTGTGAAGAAGAAGCCGGGAGTTACGCGAGATACTGCCCACGTTGTCTTTACCGCTGCGAGAACGCGACACAGAACATGGCACAGTGTTTCTACAGTACTTTCTTCACCATCAATGGCGTTCAGAGTCAATGCTGGCAGCATGGAGGCAACGATTGTGCGAACCAAGCGGCGGCCGCTGTGTGCCCAGACCAATAGGCCATGTCGCGGCCAGGCAGTGATCACAAGAGGTGGACTAGACCTTCGACAGACATGGTACTGGGTACATGGGTAAAACCATTGAAGGAGAGAGCTGATGAACCCCAAGGTCAACATATTTACTTCATGAGTTCCACGATCTTGGCCAGATCTATCGGAGATTTGGAGGGTTACCCTGATGGATCTTCTTCGTCATCTTTGTGGGCCGTTGTACAGGCGGCAGGCTATGCACACACAAATATCAGCACAGCGCACGAGTTTCAGCAGACAATATAGATGAAATCCTCGATTTAGCGGCGGTTGAGAACGGATGAGTTGTGCAAATCTTGGAAGTCCATTGCGGTGATGAGTGACACCGACGGCGATGTCATAGCCGCCAAAATTGACGACTTGCCCACCTCTTCGCATTCGCGATCGCAGTTTTAGCCTCTTAGACGTCGATGCATCTGATACCGTCAATCGGCGTTGAGAACGTCTGCTAACATGCATTAGTACCGTGACGCAATGGCAAAACACCAGTGCGCCAAGCTGTATATGTTTGTTCACATATACTCGACACCACTTCGCCTAAACACAATGCTTGCACGTTCGCATCAGCCGGCAGGCAAATAAAGATACGCGATGTGCTTCCCCGCAATCGACATACTATCCCCCGATGCACGATCTCGCGTTTGACTCCCGAGGAGCTCATCCGGCACCTGACTAGGGAGCTTAACCACCGGCCAAGACAACGTCGACCCACCATATATTAAGCTGAAGCACACATTCTTAGCTAGCGCACGATCGCATACTAGAAAGAGGATGTGTGACCTTTTCACCCCGGATCCACCTGTAACATACGACCCAACTAGAGCCTCACCCCCGACGAGATAGGCCCGATAGAATATATCAAGCCCACATTTACTGGTGGTTGGCGCGATGATTTTATCCCTTCGCAATCAAAATGGTTGCAGACGAGAGTGTGCGGTGGGCAGCCAAGAAGTGATGGAGGACGAATGCAAGGGCTTTTTAGTGTATTGGGGACGTCTTAGCACGATAGGGACGTTTTGGTACAATGGGGACGTTTTAGTGTTATAGGGGCGTTTTTTTGGTATATAACATGCCTTGGTCTTGACTCAATTACCTACATCTCCATCAGCTCGCTCTGCGTCTTCCTCGATTCTTTCGCATTCATCAGCATGAAGTACTCATTCACTCTCGCCGTTGCGGCTTTGTGCGTTGAAAGCAGTGTCGCAACACCGCTCAACCTGGAAGCCAGACAGGTAACCAACACCACTCTTACTCCAAAGACTCTACTGACATCTTCTCAGCAAGGCAGCGGCGCAGGCCCCTACGCTCCAGGAAATTACAAGACGGAAAGCTCTCTCCAAGGCCACACAATCTACTACCCAACCAAGAGCACCGGCTCCGAAAAGCTCCCTGTGCTCGTCTGGGGCAACGGTGCATGCAGCACCGACGGCCGCTCGAACTCGGCTCTCTTGCAGAACATCGCCAGTTACGGTTTCTTGGCCATCGCTGAGGGTGGCCCCAACGGCGGTGGTACCTCCAATGCTCAGACCATGAGACAGGCCATTGACTGGGTCACCCAGAACGCCGGCAAAGGAAACTATGCCAACGTCGATGCGAGCAAGATCATGGCCGCAGGCTTCTCGTGCGGTGGCGTCGAAGCCATCGACAACATCTGGGACAGCCGCGTCGACACCATTGGAATCATCAGCTCAGGTCTGCTGACAAACTACACTGCGGCCAGTAACTGGAGGAAGCCAGTGCTGTTCGTATTGGGTGGTTCAGGCGACATCGCTTACGGAAACGTAAGTTCTCCTTACCTACTCCATTCTGTTGCGTGCACGATGAACTAACAAGGATGTTAGGGCGAGCGTGACTACAAGAACATGCCTGCTGGTGTTCCGACCTGGAAGGGAAACATTCCCGTCGGCCACGGCGGTACACTCGGCGATGCTAATGGCGGCCGTTTTGGCAAGGCGATCCTCAACTGGATGCTGTGGACTATGAAGGGAAACACGCAGGCGGCGTCGTACTTCACCAGTGGCTACCAGGCTGATGGATATCAAGTCGAGTCTAAGAGCTTGAACTCGTTGAAGCCGTTCTGAGTGTTGGGACGCTTGAGGTGGGACGCGAAGATGTAGTCGTGGAGAATGTTATGAAGGAGACCATATACCTAGGTAGGATGCCAATCATCCTTACTCAAACTTATGAGAGTTGAGTAAGAACTCCAGTAGCATTGAAATATGGTTTCCATGATCAAGTCTTTCGACGTTGTCAGCGCTCAACGGCTCCAAATTCCCATCCCCACACCCCACTAACCCCTCCGCGTTAGAGCTCCCGTCAGCATTCACCCACCCCACCATGGATACCCCAACAACATCATCGTCTCATCCCAGTACCGTAACACGACACACCAAACCATCCCATCTCAACACCACCTCCCTAGCCAAAATGACCACTCCCCTCGCCACAGTAGCCATCCTCTCAATCGGGCAAATGGGCCTCGGCATCGCCGCACTCCTCACCTCGCACAACTACCGCATAACAACCAACATCAGCGGCCGCAGCGCCGCCACAAAAGCGCGCGCAGAATCCGCTGGCATACACCTCTACGCCACAGACGAGGAGCTCGTTGCAGACGCAGATTACATACTGAGTATCGTGCCGCCACGTGACGCTGTGGCGACGGCGAAACGCGTGGTATCTGCGCTGCAATCGGAGAAATGTGAGAATGAGAGGAGGAAGAAAGGGAAGGGGGAGGTGTGGTATTTGGATTTGAATGCTATTAGTCCAGATACGGCGAAGAGTATAGCGGGGCTGTTTGAGCAGAATGAGAAAGATGTTGTGTTTGTAGACGGGGGCATCATCGGTGGCCCGCCAGCGCCGCCATCACAGACAGATCAAACTGCTTGGACAAGACCCGGTATCCCGCTATCGGGACCGCGTCCCCTAGACTCCGCACCCGTTTCCGGTGCCCATCTAGCTGAAGTACTCAACACGCGGTATCTCGGTGGGGAAGTCGGGACAGCGTCTGGGCTGAAATGCTGTTTCGCAGCGCTGTCAAAGGGGTTTACGGCGTTGGCGCTGCAATCTTTCTCGTCAGCGGAGTCGCTGGGCGTGCTGGATCCGTTGCGTGAGTATCTTGATGTGTATAATCCTGGTGCGAGACAGAAGGCGGAAAAGAGTGTGGTGGGGTGTACGGGGAAGGCTTATCGCTGGGTGGAGGAGATGGTGCAAATTGGCGAGTGTTTTCGAACGGAAGGTGGGACGGCGGGTGAGGCGAGTGTGTTCAGGGAGATTGCGGGTGTATTTAATGGGTTGGCTGATGTTGTGGAGAGGAATGGGAAGGAGGAGATGGGGAGTGTGGAAGGCGTTGTTGGAGCGTTGTTGAAGGATCAGAGGGATAAGAAGAGTTAGTGGAAGCGTAAGTCTGCTGTTTTGGTGGTATGCACATGCCCAGGTGCAGCTTTTTTGCATGGGCGCGCGTTGTCACATTAGGCCTGGTCATTAGACGTATCCAGATTAGAACTCCATACCCCCGCGCTATGCTACCTAACAGAATCATGGTCATCAATTTAACATAAATCATGCCCTCCGAACATTACGGCCATCACCGTACGCCAACGTGCGTCCCATGTCCATTACCGTACTCGATCCTGCCGCACTACTACCGCTGACGCCCCTCTTGTGCCCAGCCTCCATACTGCTTCTGCCCTCAACCAGCGCCCTTCGTCCATCGACGCTCTGTCCAACGAGCCTACCACTGAATTGGTGCCAGCAATTGGGCGCTTGGAGGATGTACTTTTCCATCGCAATCCTGAATCTATTCCTGTAGTCACGCGGCGACGTGATGGTAGGCTTGTTCTTGCCGCGATCCTTGATCCAACTCTCTAGCTTCTTGTCCCAAGTGTAGGTGCGAATGCAGTCGATAATGCCTACGATGATCTCGCGTTGTGTGTCGTCAAAGCCTGCCATGAGAGAGTAGTCCATAACGTTGTTCTGTGATAGGAAAAGCGTATCGTTGAACACACTAGCTTTGAGCAACTTCTTGGTGTGCTCACGGACGAAGATGGGTGTCTCAGAGTAGATGATGTCAACAAGGTTCTCGTCGAGAAGAACTTCATCTCGTTCGCCAGTGGCCTGGATCTTGCGATTGCGCATACTGCCCTTGAGATCGTAGCGGCGATTGGGTTCGCGATCGTAGAAAAGGTTCTCCATAACAAGCATGTACCAATCAAAGTCCCGACCGGTGGGTGTCTTAATCTGGACTTGGAAAAGGCCAAACATCTTAGCGATGACGCTGGGTAGCGATTTGAAGAGATTCTGGTGCGTGAAGGCAAAGTAATTGGGTCCGAACTTGAAGAATGCTTGAACTTCGACTGGAGAGAGTGACTTTAGGACGAATCGGTCGTCGAGGGTCTTCAGAAAGATTGACTTGGATTTCCCGCCCTTGGAATCCCATTTCGAACAGCGGGAGAGGGACTCCACGAAGCGTTCTGCCACACCGCATTTGCGGCGGAGTGCGTCGAAAGATTGGGCGTAGAAAATCTTGCAGTGCGCCTTTACCCCACGATTGGTGAAACTGTAGCGGATGTTGTGGTTTTCTTCATGCAGTAGATTTCGTTCGACTGACTCTTCAAACGTTTCCATAACGCCATCACTTGAAGTAAAATCGCGGAAGGTTTGTCGTTTGGCAACATAATCTGGACACGACAGCGCCAATGCAATAATGGAACTGGGTTCGTCTTCCCGGATGATGATATCCGAGTTCTCCCAGACGTGCTCGATCTGTGAAAATGGATACTCAAGCGGCGTCCATCCACTTGCTGATCGTTCAGACCAGAAACTGGTAAGAATCTTGAGTAATGTGTTCTTCTCGTGTTTGGGGAGCTCAAGAGAGTTTTCCAGCTGCGAGTCACTTAGACTCAGAAGTTGAGAGCCCGCGAGGCTCTCCGGTAGAGGAATGTCTTCTGGCGTCGTCTCCGTATCACTGATGTCGTTCTCGGGATCTGATGGAAAGTGGCTTGGAGATTTGGGTGACTCATCGCTGCTGGGAAGTTGGGCCATTTCATCATGAGGGTGTCGCCTCTCAACCGGTGACTGAGATGCTGTTGTGTCACCTGTGTGCTCTATAAAGGTGCTGTCGCCAAGTGTACTGTTGTCTAGACTCGCCCGAGGAGGAGTTGGAGTACGCAGATCTTCATCAGAATCCTCATTCTCTTGTACAGCGTCATGAACATTCTTGTACACCTCGACCACCGGTTTAGAGGAGGCAAGTGGGAACGCGCGCACTTGCCTAGCTCGATCGTTACGTCTCTCGCGCATACGCTGGTTCTGAAATTCTCGTGACAGCTGTTCGAAATGCTGGGCAATCTTCGATACCTTGTTTTGGCTCTTGTAAGGTATAGATCGGGGTATGCGAGATGAGGACTTGGATTGCTTTGGGGTAGACAGCCCTAGCCCAAGTCGCTCTGTCATACGCTCAAAAGCCTTTGTAGAGTCGTTGGAGTTCGGCTTCGGACTAGTGGGCCCATTGTTGGAGACAGATGAGCCTGGGAAAGGGCCGATATGTTTAGCAATATTTCCAGGCTGAGATTGTGTTCTCACAAGTGCTGTTGGCCGGGCCGGCGTCTCACGTCGACCGGGCTCGACCAGCCGCGGAATTTTGCTTTCAGCTGTGATGTTCGAAGCTGACGGCAATGGTGATGGGCTACTCGGCATGTTCTCAATCGCTTCAGCAAGCGACTTATCAATCGGATTTACCCTAGGAAGACTGGTAGGTGTAGGCGACCCTTCGTCGTACTTGTTAGGATCAGAAGCAACAGTTGGTGTCTTGGTGAGTTCTTCGTTGCCGACTGCAGGTGTCTCAGGATAGTTGGAGGGCACTGCAAGATCCAGGTGACGAACGTCTTCTCGCTCAAGTGCCTCCCGCGGGGTCTGGATTGGCAAATCTGAACTAGGCTTGGTCAGAGGGGGCGTGGTGGGTCCAGACGTCTGTTCTCCCCCGTCCGCAGGCTGATCGCTAGTCGAACTCTCTTCTTTGACAACGGAGCTCAACATGTCGCGGGCCATTTCTGGTGACAGATTAGATGGCCTCGGCGATAACGCAATCGACTCATCCTTCTCATCGATGTACGAATCGTCCGCACCTGATTCCCCGCCCTCGTCCACAGATGCCAAAGAGCTCGTAGACTCATCCCGCTCCAAGAATCTCTTCAGTTGCATGTTCGCATACCTCCTAATATCTCGCTCGGACGGGAAGAACTGCTGCTCAAACTCCAGAAAAGTCACATCCCAGGCGATTGCCTTTTCCTGAATGGCGCGAATGGCGCGATTCATGGGGATGATTTCGTAGTATTTGGAGTTCATGTACTTGTCTTGGAGTTTGGATTTCAGCCACTCGTGTTCCTCGTTCGCGCGTTTTAGAAGTATCTCAACTTCCTTGCGGCAAACATCCACCTTCTCTGGAATGACATCTTCGACATGTATCCCCTGGATACGAGCGCGAAGCGAGTCCATGAAGCAGTCCAACTTCTCCTCGATCATCGAATATTGGCTATTCTTCAACCTTAGGTCGCTATCCACTTTCCAGGTCACATTCGGCTTGGGAGCGATGACCTCGTACATCGGTACGGGGTCATACTGGATACGTAGAGCAACATTGCTGTAGCCGAAGTAGCGAACGTGGTCCTTGTGAATGTCATGGGGACATATACCCGCTCGTGGATGCAGTTTAGTACTCCAGAAAGTCAACTCGAGGTATTTGGCGAAAGAGTATCTCCAACTCCACTCCGACATGGGAAAAGCTTGCGTTTCCTGGCCACATATTCGGCAACAGCTCCACATGAGAATGGTTTGATACATGCCTTTCAGCTTCGGTGGGTGCTTCTGGACAATGACCGTCATCTGACCTTCTCCATGCACGTATTGCCGAGAGTGATCGAGCATTCTCCGGTCGCAATTGCCCACTTCACAAGCAACACTGGCTGAAGTGCACAAGTCCTCCACGTATTGGCCCAATGTGCAGTCTGGCGTGAAGCCATCGTCGTAATCATGTTCTTGGTAAAAGCCAAGCGCGATGATTTCCGGTCCAATGCAGGGAGTTGAGGTTACAGTATTGACAACACTGTAGAGTACGGCAATCTTCTGGTGGTTGAACGGGTCGTAAAGATCCGTGTTACCCGAGAGATACTGCTCCCACTGTCGCTTCTGTGTCAGGTACTGATTCAGTGCCTTGTCGTATTCTGATGCATGCACTGCAGATAAGAATTCCCGAACTTGCTTTGAAGCCTTCTCCACCACGGTGTGGACCATCTCGGGCTGTACGAGTTCGAACTTCTGGCCAATTTCACCGGGCTTTTCGTCACTTTCATCAGCAGTGTACTGGTTCTTGAGCTTCTTCAGATGGCCAAGCTTTGCTTCGTACTGGCGGGCCTGTTCGAGCAGATAAGGTTGCATGAATTTGACGAATGGCGAAGAAGAGAGGATCTTTGTTCGGTGGTTTTCGACCATGTCGCTATAGTAAGAGGGTGCAGCATCGCTAGATCGCAGGTCGTTCCCATCATGCAACGCGTTAGTAGGCTGAGAAGCGGTATCGTCTCCACCGCTTTGAGTTCGTGAGCCGTCTTGATCTTGGCGGTCCAAGGCGAGAGTACCAGTAATGGATGCTGTTGGTGTATCTATGAATTCGTCGCGCATCAGGCAAGTCTCGAGCCGAAGATTGTACACGACATACGTCATGAACTCAGTAACGCGTTTCAACCTGACCAGGTTATGACTCTCGGCACCTCGTAGAACAATTGTGCAGCCTAGTTCTTTTTGGCACCCAGACAGAAAGATGTAGGTTTTCCTTGCATTCTTGTGCACGTAGGTCTTGACATCAAACCTGCCGCAAGACCCAAGATGGGTTGGGTCTATGGCCAACTTGTCGACGGATGAGATCATTTTCGAATTTGTGCATCGCGCGACAGCGTTCAGTACTGTAGGCTTGACGTTGTAGACTACGGCAATTCCCTCTTTCTCCAGGAATTCGAGTGCCAAGCCAGACACATTACGTTGTACGAGCAGGACGTGGGGTTGGAGAGCTGCGATACGACTTACGAGGTTACGAAGGTATTCCCGCTCCTGAGCGATGACGGGCTCAAGGCTCATGAAGTGTGTTTGGTGTCGCGCATACTCAATAGCGAAAGTGATGATGGCGATTCTTGGGTTGGGTATATTGCGCGGCATACTCCGCAGGGCAACGTTCTTGGTAAAGACCACTCCCGATACGTATGCGGTGTCCTTTGGCTTACCACCCGGGATCTTTTTCAACTTGATGTAGTTCCTCACGTCGATGTCATCTCCTCTATCTACATCAGGATTGACGTCATCTGTACACTGTCGTAAGATCGGGATCAAGGCCTTTTCCCAACTGGACGCGTGCGGTACTCCAGCGTCGTTCAACATCTGTATCAGGAGCTTTCGTGCATGATCTAGACTGGCCTTGTTGAGTTCGACCTTGGGTGTCATACCCTGCATTGATGCGCTACGGGTGATTCTCCCTCCGGGTGGTGTTGGTGAAGGAGACGGCTGGAGTTGTGGTGTTCCCGGTCCGCTACCGCCGTAGCCGGTATAAGGTCTTAGTAGGGTGTTGCTTTTCGATCGCCTTGGGGAGGCTCGGTGAGTTATGCTGCTTACGCTCAGATTCCTTCGTCGAGATGGTCGATTTCCGTTGCGGCTTGTGATGCTAATGTTATCTGCATCTCGAGCATGGCCCGCGCCTATGACACTCCTATCACCAGCCCTTGACTTTCCTTTTCTCATGGCTGCCAACAGACCACCTAAACCACCTCTTTCATGATCCAAATTCGCGCCAGCCGCAGGATCTTCTCTCAGAGTCGCGAAGATGCTGGCGTGATCTTCTTCGCTCGAGCCCTCGTCCGACATGAAGGGAGCAAGATCTGGGTCGATTATGTTATCGTGGTGGAAGGCCGACAGGCTTGGTTGACTGCGTGAATTATCGTGATACTGATGGAAGGGCGCGCGATCGTCATGCTTGACATTACGCATGTGTTGGTGTTTGGAAGGGTGTCGTTTGTGGCTCGACGAACGGGGTCTCCCGCCCAGAGACCGCAGAGATCGCGAAGAGCTCGGACGAGTCAAAGTTTGGGGACCAAGTTCTATGACATGTGACCGGCGTTTCTTTTCACTGCCCACCTTCCGAGACATGGGGATGCTGATGGTCGGTGTTCCGATCTTTGTATGATCACTCTCAACATGATCAGCCTCGTCGTCGTCCGAGTACTGAGTCCTGTCCCCGTTGTCGTAAAGAGAGGCTTGGTCGCCATCATCAGTGTAGTCGGAAGAGTCATCGTCATGGCCGTATATGATACCCTCACATGGTTTGCATACCTTCAGGTTGCTTTGCTGTCCAAATATCTTACCTGACACAATAGACGTGCACTTGGAATCGAAGATTTGCCCACATGTACGGCAGTGATGCTTACGTCTGAAAGTAGTGAAAGCATCACCGCAGCTGAAACAAGCTTTAGCATTTTCGTCTCGCATCCAGAACTCGCGGTCTAGGATCTTTCTTCGCATTTGAGTGAAAGTGCTTCTTGACATGTTGTGTACCGCAGGCGCAGCCTGGGCTTGTCGCTGAATCTCTTCGATAGGAGCAACAGCAGGAGTGCGTATCGTGGAAGTCGTGATGATAGAGCTCAACCCGTCAGAAGAAGAGGCCCTGGAAGGCCGGTAGCCTGGGAGGTGTGAAGGACCGACATGGAGCATGGGGGGACGCTGCGGCTCCGGTGCGTGTATGGTAGTTTGGGAGCTAGCGGTGTTGTTGCGACCGAGTTGAATCCTCTCGGGGGACTTTTCAGGCTGTTCCCTCGGCTTGTTTGGCGCAGAACGGGTGGGTTGATACTGGCTGTCGGCGCGGGAGCTGACTCTGCTCAGACTTTCGCGCGGGGTGTCTGACCCGGCCTTGAAGTTGGCGCTATCACCCGCTTGACCTTCGCCTTTCACGAGCACCATATCATCGTCATCGGTATCGTCACTTTCCTGACCTGCAAGGTCAAAGTCGCCCTTCTGTCTCCTAGCAACGTTGTCCCGGTTTGGAGCGAAGCGCGGGGAATCTAGCCGTTGGGCTCCTAGCGCAGGATCTCTCGGTGTGTTGCTTCTTGGTAAGTCGATGGTGGAGGTGCTCTGGCTCCTAGAGTGGGGGCCCATAGGGCTCAGAATCGAGGATTCGTCGTGTTTTGCTGTATGCCCCGTGTCGACGCTCGGGGTCATTGAGTTCCGGGACCGTGCAGTACCGAGGGAAGCCTTAGACGCGTTCATGGACGTCTTACTGGAGAGCGTAGTACTAGATATGTTGGAGTCGCGGGAGGGAGGCAGGGCGTCGGGGAAGTTGGCTGTTGCTGGAGATTGCATGCGCGACGACGGCCTAGAGGTGACAACGGGTGAGGACACGGAAGTCCCCCCTGGGCTTCGAGTGACAGCCGCTGACTTGGAGGCCGGCGAAGTCCCGCTCCTGCCATCTTGTGATTGTTCTCTGACGCCTCCTACAGAAGCTCTCAGGCGACTGTACAGTCCACTGAAGCCACCTTGTACCAAGTCTATGCCTTTGGGCTCACCAACTGAGCTCGGGGCCGGTGGCACAGTGAAGTCGTCGAAGGTGGTAAGCGTGTCGGAGCGTGATGCCTGGGCATGCATTTGGTAGAGCGAAGGCGGCTGCAACGAGCCCCGCCGCGAGTCTCTAGACATGGCTGCCGTCAGAGGAATTGCAGTCTGCGGGTGCAGTAGGAAGTATCGAGTGTGTCCAGACGAATCGGCGTCCGACAGTGGCCTGTGGTGAACAGCATCAGGCTTCAGGCGGGATCATGCCTAGGTAGTCTGGCGGACAGGGAGGTGGAGTCGAGGATGGCGGATGATTCGTTACACGTGTGTTGCTTCGGCTTCATGGGAATGGGGAAGAAGATTCCAGGCGCCGACAGTAGTCAGCTACGACGGCACTGGCAGCTGGAGCATCACGAGGTGCATACAGCTAGCTAGGCATGCAGGAAACGCGGCGGGCCATGACGCGCAGCCGCCAAGGAATTCCGCTCGCTGTTCCGCCCCCACGTCCCTCGGCATGAATTCATGCCCTCCAGCCACGAGATGCAGCCGCCGTGAATGGTGGTCCAAGATCAAACGCGCCTGGCTGGACGAGTGAAGCATCAGCCGCTATTTTCAGTTAGACAGGACTCTATTATGTTCTCTCCACGAGTCCCCACACGGCTTGTTGTTCCTCCTCCCCGCACATCTCGCCGGGACCAGAACGCGTCGCGTCTCCCACTGGCGCCGCGACATCCCATTGCATGGCCCTTCGCCTCAGCGCCTGGCTTGAAGAAACGTTCGAGTCCCAGCTGCTGCTAGGCAACCAGTGGCTCCAGGACACATTTGAGAAGAAGCGGTCTGGCGTTAAAGCCCAATTGCACAGGCAGTGGGACGTGTACCACGATAACGGCTCGTCTCTTGATATCATCAACTACGTCCACTCTGACCGCAACAGCGCACTGCTGGTACTCAAGGCAGGTGATACTGCGCCCATCGCTGCTGCTACATCTAACATCACTTGTACTAGGTCTCGCCTCTTACACTTACCGACGGCCAAGCTCAGATCCTCTCCCAATTCACGTCCGACTGCGCTCGGAACTTTCTCCAGGCATTCCCCGCGCTATCGCACCTGTCCATCGGCACCACAGTAGCCGTCCGCACTTTCACTATCCGCCTCACCCCGTACGGCCCGCCGAGCGAAAGACTGCGCTTGATACTAGATCGGATCGATTGGCTGGGCGATAACCGCGAACGCGTACAGAATCTGGAGCGTGAGAGTCTGAGGCCACTGCATGCTTGCGATCAGACTGGTATTTTGCTAGAGCAGCTGCGCCATATCCGCGAGCGAGAGGACCGCCGATGCTTGGCATCTGGTGCTGAGGAAACGGACCTAGAAGCAGTCGACGACGCTACGGCGGATAACATGGGTTCAGATGGGAACATGCCGCATGGCAACGAGCTCCAATCACAGACCATGGGCACTCAACTGCCGTTTGGAACACAACTGCCTCTCCCATCCCGTCCTCATGCAGGTAACGAGGATCCGCAGGTCATAGGAGTGAACCGGCTGGAGCCAGTCTTAGGCGGTAACACCCAACGAAAAGAGATACGGCCAGGTGCTGCTAACACCGACTATGAGAAACAACGGCTGCTAGGTCTTCTCGGCAGAACTTCCAATCCAAACGCCCGCAAACCTGGGGCGCCCTCTGCGAACGGTTTCGTGCAGTCAGCTTTCGGTAAGCAACAAACTGACGATACGCCAACTGCAGATGAATCTCTCGAACCACCGCCAGATGCATTGCAACGACAGTCAATGTTCACACTAGAAGCTGGGAACGAAGGTCCCGCATCGCCTGTGTCCAACCATGGGAAAAAGAGGGTCAAACGGGTCCATGAGGTATCGCCCGAACCTGCAAAAGCTGCCGAAGACGTTCGAACCGAGGATCAAAACACTGAGCAAAGCCTGATCGAGGATAACAATGACACAATGCCTCCGTGCTCATGGATGGCAGACTTGATCTTCAATAGCGAGACGCTAAAGGTACCTAGAATCCAGCGGAACTGTCTGGACAGGGAAACCAGTTGGCTAAAACCTCAACCCGGGGTTCAGCCTTTCCAGGCTGGAAACATGCCGCAATCAATACTCATGGCTTGTCATCGGATGGCTGACGAGAGAGCTGGCGCTGAAACTGACGATGAATCGGACCCAGATCCGTCTGCAGAGACTGTCGATCCATCGCCCGAGTCTCTGCCCCAAAAGACGCAAGATGATGAACCTGCCTTTACCAAAAATGACAGATCTGCGAGGACAAAAGATGATGAGCCCGTGACTACTCAAGACGACAGTGATGCCGGTAGGGAGAGGTCCTGGAGCACGTCCCCGGAGCCTCCACCACGTCCAGCAAGAGTCCATCAAGAACTTCCTCCTGACTCAAGCATCGAGAAGCCCGCATCTCATTCAGAACAGGATTCTGCGTCACAGCCAATGTCCGCCAGCAAGCAGTCACAAAATCGTTCTGTCGTCGAGATTTCAGATGACGACGAGCCAACTGGTCCATCATCCTCGCCACCCGTTCCAGCTGCACCCGCAGATTCTGACGATGAAATGAACATGGAAGAATCCGTTCCACAAGCCTTGGGCGAAGATCTTACACGGCACAGAAGAGAGACATCGGCAATCGGGAATGCTCCAAAGTCTGATCCCTTGCGGTCGCCTGTAGTTGTTCAAGTGAAAGAAACTCCATATGGAAAAGGCAAGAATGCCCCAGGCGCCCAAAGCTCAAGCGGCGAGCCAAAACAGCAATCATCTACATCGATAGTCCATAGTACATACGATACGCCTAGTCTCTCTGATCTTGCCGAGCTTGGGGTCATGCAAAGTTCAGGCGACAAGCACAAGGGAGTTGAAGTGCCTAGCAGTGTACCCCAAGGCCCCAACGGCGATGACGCTGGAGATATAGAGATGCTAGACCATATCCCAGACGCACAAGATCTCAATGGCGAGACGGCTGCTGCACAGCCATCGCAACACAGGCTAGATCAAGGGACGAAGTCCACATCTTTCTCCCATGCAACGACCAAATCTACGCATCTATCGCCGGAAAACCGTGGCGTACAGTCATCACCGGCAGTACCTCACCTCGCTTCACAATCCACCAAGCGCAAGCTCATTAGTTCGCCGACCAAGAGCAAACGTCGACAATCTAAGAGACGCGAAATCAAAATTGTCGGTTTTGGAGACGAGGCTCCGTCTGCAATCGACCCAGTGGCTGCGTTACGCAAAGAACGAGACGAGTCTCTACGCAGATGGCGGGAGCAACGTAACTCTAGCACAAGCTTTGACAGTCGACCTGAGACTACGAGCAGATTTGCCACGGAAGATTCAGATGCAATGGATATTGACGGTGCTGTCAAAGTGGAGAAAAAGGAGCCATCGCCCAGCATGTCCCCTCGGCATCAGGATCTATATGACGAACCGAGTCCTAGACAAGTAAAGCCCGCTGCAAACCCAGCTCCCCAGCCGCTCACAACACATCCTCAGTCACAAGGCCGCTCCCGTGATAATCGACCTCGTGGTCCCGTTCCGATACATATGCAACCTCCACCAGCATCTTCAAAGCAAGTAGACCAAGATGATGTCCAAACCGTCTTCCAGTCCTTCAAGTTCGCCTATCCGCAATATGATGGTGATGAGAAGCACTTTCGAAACCAATGCACGCAGATGTATCAACTGGAACAAGAAGACAAGATGGTACCGAAATGGCAGTGGGACGACTTCATCATACGGAACAGGACAGACTACAGGCAATATGCCATGGACTGCATTGGCCAAGGGGAAGATCCGGAGCCATACCATCGCTTCTACAAGAACGACATCCGCGACACCTTGTACAAAGAGGGCATTATCGGTAACACCAAGACGTTGCAAAGGGCACTAGAGGAGCTTAGTGGTGGTTCAGCTGCAAAAATGGCCGAGCCTAAACCGGTCGTTCAATCTGCTCCGAAGCCAAAACCAGTAAGGAAGTCACTCCCAGGTTCTTTCAACCAGCCTAAGAAACCCACACATGACCGCGTCAACAACGCCCACTCCCGTCCGCGCCAGTCCCTTCCTATAGACCCGCGTCCTCACGCCCAAAGCCCTCTCCGACCCAGCTCGCCCTCATCCGGATCCTCATCACGGCCCCAGCCACGCCCACCAAATCCCACGAAACGGGTACCCTCCACAACCCGACCCACACGCCAACCTTCCACCAACAACTCCCCCTCCAATACCGCCACCCCAACCGACCCAGCCCCCACCACCACAAGCACCGGCGACAAATACCGCGACTTCGTCTTCGCCATGCAACGCAGCGCCTCCTGGACCGGCAGCACCATAGTGAGTTCCACGCCCAAGGCCAAGAAGTGATAAGAGAACAATGGGCTAAGGTGTGTGTTTCCTTTTAGGTCGATCCAAAGAAACCGTGGCCGCAGAGTCTGGCTGGTAGACCGAGTGTGGCTGATGCGCCGAGGAGCAAGGTTGATGTGTTGGATTGGGGGGATGTGTTGGGGAAGATGGGGTGGAGGGGTGGGAAGTGAGGTCGGAAGGAATAGCTTGGATTTGGATGTGGCTGAAGAGGATTGGAAATGGTTTAAGACGGCTTGGGTCAGATGAGTGATATGTGTATTAGGATACCCTGGCTACTTGTTTTGTTAGAGAGGGCTTGAATACGGTACCATGAGACATTGAGGCATTGCTAGCACGATTCGAGCAACTATACATTAGCGACCACAAGGTCACAAGCAATTCCACAGATTTATGCGGAGTATTCCTTTGTGATGCAAGCGCTGAGAACTATGCGTGCAATCGTTCGATTACCAATATCATTGCAAGAGGGTATATACTCCCCGCCTCGTCCATATCTGACCTGGCAGCCAGTGAAACCCCATCAAACGCCTTGTTACCATCCCATTCGTACACATACCATACATATGCTATCACACACGCCAGCCCTAAGCTCCTCAAGCCGACATCCTCCACCTCCTCACACCCTGCAACCCACTGACACCAACCGTAACCACCAGAAGCAGCGCATTGAACCCAGCCATCATATAGAACGGCGCACCAGGTCCCGTGCTATCGAATAACGCACCACCCGCTTTGGTCAGCAGCAAGATACCAAAGCCAC